ACTAAGAAACGCAGCTTCGTGAAACTTTGCAGTTGTGCTAGTTTTATTGTAGTGAACAACCCCTGAAAGTTTCATCCAGATATCTTAAAAAATAAAAAAGTTCGGTCTACAGGGTAGCCCTTAATGTTTTAAAATTTATTATACTAGGATCAAATAAGCTGTCATAACAGGCTTAATAAAATGAATTGATTTGAGGGTAACATGTTCCCTTAAGGGGGGACACGGGTCTTTGGAGCCGAAAAATCGCCAAAAAAGCAATTTTTTGTAAACAGCATTTTCAGAAACTACAGGTATTTTTTTACAGGTGTACTAACTTTCATATCTCTCCGATCAATATTTTAGCTGTAATATTAAATTCCTAGCCCGTGCGCGTGCGGAATTCGCGCAGCTCCGGACACCAAAAACCAGTTTTTTATAAATTCGTAACTCCATGTCCACAGCTGCACTCGCGGCCATTTTGGTATCGTTTGAAAGAGCAGTTTTTCGCCTTCGAAGTCCCGCCACTGTGGCTTCTGTGCGTTCATTGGTTGCGGAGAAAACAACCATCAAAAAAGAGTAAAAACGCATGCTACGATTGGTTGTTTAGTGCACATGACCGTTTCTCAGAGCATGATTGGCTGAAGTCGGCTTGTGGCGTCTGCTCTGGCTGTGTTGTGCGCGCTTTGCTGGCCCCCATCGGCGCCATTCCTGAATTCTGCGATCGACGATGGAGCGGTGTGCGTCGACGTCTCGAGCGGGAAAGTTCCACTCAGTGCACAGATTCGGAAAGAAAAGAAAAAAAAAGCCTCATCGCTAACACCACGAAGCGTCGGGCAGCACCAGCAGCGAGCGTCGAGGACGGCCGGTCATCAGCGCCAAGCATCGCCGCCGCCGAGCCGGCTGGTGTAGGCCTAACGGCTCCACCAGCGTGTGAAAGTGCGAGTGGAAGTGGCCGCGTTCGCATTGATACAAAAATCCTGCAGCCAGCAGAGTTGCACGAAAATGCGAGAAATGCCGAAGCCAAGCTACAAGAGCTGGCGTCAATTTCAGCAACGACGCGAAAACAAGATCGCCTGGCTGCTGCCGGTGACTGTGCCGCGGCCGACTCGGCTGACAACGTGAGCTTCGTCGTCATCAGCTTAGACTGTGTGAATGACTTGTTGAGGTGCGTGAAGTGTAAAACTTGCAGCGGTGATGTGAATATCAGCAAATGCGATCGGGAGTACGGTCTGGCTGTGAAGCTTTCGATTACTTGCGTCAACTGTGGTGACGTTTCGTCAGCGTGGAGTTCGCCGCGTGTGGCCGGGGACCAAAACAAACCCATTCAGCGTCAACATCCTCGCAGCGCGTGCAATGCAAAGCTTCGGCAATCGTCAAACGGCGCTCAACGACATTTGTTCTGCCATGAATATATCGCACCGGGGTCTGCACACGAAGACGTGGCAAAACTATGTGAAAAAAAAACTGACGCCTGCAGTGGCCTCTGCTTCCGAGGAGTTGATGACCGAGTGCGCGAGTTCCGTTCGAGAGCTCTATCGCGAGCTCGGTACAAACATACCTGGCAACAAACATACCTGGCCGTTTCCTACGATGGGTCTTGGATGACTCGCGGACATTCTTCCCACATCGGCGTCGGAACGGTGATTGAGCTTTTTACAGGGTTTGTATTGGACTATGTTGTCTTGAGCAATTTCTGTGCAGCCTGTGAGCAGAAGCCTAAGGAGAACGACCCTTCGTACCAAACGTGGGTGGAAAACCACCAATGTCAAAAAGGAAGTTGAGGCCGCACTTATCCTTTTCCGAAGGTCTCTCTCCAAACACAACCTCCGCTACACAACCGTGTTGTCAGACGGAGACAGTCGGGCCTACCTCGCTTTGCAGGAAGAAAAGGTGTACGGCTACATGGACATCCTGAAGGAGGACTGCGTCAACCACGTCCAGAAGCGCATGGGGACAAACCTGCGAAAGCTGCTTTCCCAGCACAAGGGGCATGGCCTTGGGGGCAAGGGCAGACTCACTGGAGATTTGGTCAACAAGTTGACATCATATTATGGGTGGGCCTTGAAGTCCCACAAGGGGGATGTAGATGCAACGCACAGGGCTGTTATGACAACGTATTTACATGTCACTTCACGTGATGATGCACCCAACCACAGCCTTTGTCCAACAGGCCCTGACTCGTGGTGCCGGCAAAATGCAGCCGAGGCCAAAGGACAGCCGCCGCCAAAGCACCGCTACAGCTTGCCCGCCCATGTGTGTGAAGCGTTGCTGCCCGTCTACGAGCGCTTATCGGATAGGAAGCTGCTGGAGCGGTGCCAGCGTGGCAAGACGCAGAATAACAATGAAAGCTTGCACGCCATGATCTGGGCGCTTGCACCAAAGGAGCGGCACGCTTCACTGTTTACTGTTGAGGCTGCTGTCGGTGAGGCCGTCATGAAGTTCAATGCTGGCTATACAAGAGCTGCAACAGGCATCCTCAAAAAGCTCACTCAGCCTGACCCCTGGCCGGCGAAACTCTAAACGCCTGGCAGAGAAGGACAAGCGGACGATGACCGCATCTGCTCGAAAGCATGTGTCGGCTGAAAATGTGAAGCAGGCCCTGGGAAAGCGCCACAGAGTTGACAAAGGTCAAAAGGACTATGTTCCTGGTGGATACTAGGCACTTGCTAGTGTAAGCATGTAAATATTTCCTGGTGTTTCTCATTAAATTTGACGTTTTGTGTTTTTGCTCATTTTCTCAAAAGCTGAATTTCTGACTTCTTGCAAGCTTGCCGAAGCAATATCTCAGCACTGCGGGTAGATAGAGCTATAATTCTTTTTTTAGGACAAAGCCAATGGGGTGGTGTTTGAAATGTAGCAAACAGATTTTTGAAATTTCTTTCGAGCAAATTTTAAATTTGCTTTATTTCTGGGTGACTGGTGGCACTATTTCAAGTGCTCAAGTTCAGTTAGCTGTAAAATCTCTTACAAGCAATTAATCAAAAAACTGCTTGCTATGTTGCAATCACCAGTGTTTCTAGCATCTGACATATGCAGATAATAGTTTTTTGATGAATACTTTTTTTTCTATTGTTAAGCAAAAACATGGCGGGTTACCTCTAATTATCTTGAGAACTAATTGGCTGATGGAAAAAATAATTGCATATTTCAAATCAGCAGAAAAAAAAGCAACAAGACTGGCAAGTTTCGTTATGTTTGCTTAAAAAGTAAGCGAAATTGTTTCAAGACCCATGTCCCCCCTTAAAGGGGCCCTGCAACACTTTTTCAAGTAGCCATGGAGCCAGTAAACATGCTTGTTGCCTCACAAATTTACTACAGCAAAGTTTCTAAAATCAGTTTAGTATGAGCAGAGTTCCAAAAATTGGCGCACGCTGCAACTGCATTCTCTCTTCTGGTCTTGACGAAATAGCTGAAAGCTAAGCAGGGAGGAATGGCACGGCGAAAGAAAACACTCCACACGCACCTCATAACTTTCAGCACCTCTTTTTTTTTTTTTTTTTCCCGAATACGCGGCTTTTCAGTGGGATCGCACCTAACTTGTGGACAAGCGGTGGCCCCGGTAACGACAAGCGCACCATGCTCAAATCAGCCAATGCCTGTGACCAGAGCCGCATATTGCTTCTTGGCTGTGACAAGTTACTTTTTGAGCTTGTGTCATTTGCCGAGGAAAGAAGGCAATTTTTAGCTTTGAAAATTTATTGTGAATTACAGGCCACGTGCTGCGCTACAATATTTGCCTCACGTGTTTTCAGTAGCCTCGACTACCGATCGGTAGGGTTTTCTGACCATGTTCAGTTAGTGTTGCAGGGCCCCTTGAATGTAAAGGGGGGTTTCGCGGCAAAGCAAATGTTCTTTGAGTAGGCGCTTTCACTGTTTAGCACTCGTACATTGCAGTAAAACCACCTTTACAGGTGGTGACCTGCGGATTAATATACACTTATTCATTCATTGCAAATACTTTGAAAATATCAATAATTTAAATTCAAATCGAAGCGAATTCGAATACTCAACTATTCGTTCACACAAGCCTAGAGTGGCGCCATTGCAAAACTAAATGCACCTGAACCATACTGGGCTATGACCACCCCATCACCAGCTCAACCTGCAATGTAATTGAGTTTGTATGCCAGTGTTGTCCATGTTTTTATTTGCAACCCAATTAATGAACAAATACAGTTTCAACTCATACAGCTATTGATATGCTTTGCATGCCAAAAGCAAAACATGATTGTGAGGCATGCCACAGTGGAGGGCTTGGTGGACGATCTGGCATTCTTTAACGAGAACTTACATCACACGGGCACAGGGGCCTCTCTAACATTTAGATTATTAAAAATAAAACTGTCGCGGCCACAATCGAATTCAACTTCCGGGTCAGCAGCCGAGCGCCACAACCATTACACACAGTAATTCACATTGTGGTAGCAAGCAGCACAAGCTGTCCACTATAGCCACAAGACGGAGAAATAGTTAGCTGGAAGAAGTTTCCAAAAAAATATGCAATATCTTGTGGCGTAGAAAGTAAGCATTAATGCTAAATCAAAATACTTTCATGTTTTATATGCAACACCCATGGTTGATATGTGGGGTATAACGTCCCAAAACCACCATATGATCATGAGACGCCGTAGTGGAGGTCTCCGGAAATTTAGACTACCTGGGGTTCTTTAACGTGCACCCAAATCTGAGCACACAGGCCTACTACATTTCCGCCGCTATCGGAAATGTAGCCGCCGCAGCCGGGATTCGAACCAGCGACCTGCGGGTCAGCAGCCGAGTACCTTAGCCACTAGACCACTGCAGCGAGGCTTATATGCAACACCCAACTTTTTTTTTTTTTTTTTTGCCTCAAAGGAAAGACACAAGAAGTATTTTTACTAGCTTTTGCAGCATCATAAAACTGACCACTCATCCCAAAAAAGCAGCACACAGCAATCTTTCAAAGAGCTACGAAATGTAAGCTCCAGAGGGGTGGTGGGGAAGCAAGGACCATCACGTGTGTCCAAGGAATTAGTGCTCACCTTCTGTTGGAACCATTTGATGGCTTCCTCCTTACAAAGCCGGTGCTTGCAACCAATGGTACCCTTCTTGTGGCGCCTGTGGGCAACATTGAAGCCTGGTCGGCCTAGCACTACGTAGAAGTCCAGGCCGTAGATGCCGATGGTGGGGTCGTACTTGATGCCCAGGTCAATGTGCTCCTGGATACCGAAGCCAAAGTTGCCGGTGTCCGAAAAGTTGTCCTTGCGGAGCTCGTATTCTCGCACCTAAAAAGGAGGACAGCATGAGAGACGAACTTTGAAGAATCGGGAACTGATTCCCACAACCGGCTCTTACTTGCATCATAATTCCCCCCCCCCCCCTCCCCGCTTTTTAACTGTAAACTGACGCAAACTTGGCATTCGGGTTCATGATGCAAAAAAAAAATTTTCAGAAGAATAATTTGCGGCAGCAAAAAGTAACATATAAAGAATAAAGATTATATTAGTCGCCAACCGATATATCGGACAGCTGCGGGGCACTGCCAATGGCCTCATAGAGCCAATGTGTAAAGACGACCGATATTTCGGACAGCTGCCAGATCCGCTGTCGAGAATTCCGACTATGTCCGAAACTGGCACGCACATTGAATCGGCATACGGTACCCATACCATACAAAGTACAGCCAGTTGCCGATTTTTCGGACACCCGAATTTTCAGAAATGCCCGATGATTCGGACATCTTCGCGGCACCGCCACGAGCGCCATAGAATCAATGTATAAGGAAGTCTGGAATTTCGGACGCTCGAACCCCCCGGAGTCCAATTTTCCAGACTTTTTGACGTGACGGAAGGTCGGAAACCTTCACTGACCTCCAGTGGAAACCACCACAACTGCGTCACACGCGATTACGATCGCATAAATGAGCGCACCGGTCTACTGTGGTGGCATCTGTTGCTTGGACTCGATCGTTAGCGGAGAAATACTGCCACGTTCCATTTCCCCAAGTTTTTGTTATCGTCCCAAAACACCACACCATTCTCAGCGCGAACCGCGCCTGCAGTTTTCGAGAAGGTTCCGGACTGCAGTAGATCATTTCGATAAGATCATGCCCACTGTGCGAACGGTACAGATTGTTCTGGAACCTACGCCGCCGCCAGCGATAACGCTAGAACATTCGACGGCAAGAGTATAAATGCCGACGCGCTTCGCCGCTTGTCAGTTGTTGATCGAAGGCCGACGCTCCGTTCGCCGCTATCAGTCCGAGACTGCTATCTGTGCGAGACTGCTGCTGTAATTGGACTTTCCATTTACCGGGCACAGGTTCGCCCAAATAAACAGTTAAATCCCAGCACGAAGTCTCCTGTCTTCGGCCACGTCACGACCCCGTGACATCTGGTGGAGGTGCTGCTTCGTTCATGTACCGGACGCCTCCGTCAAGCCGTGAACCCAGCCCACGTCGCGGAGAAGACACCGACGCCAACCAGGAGAAGCGAACAAGCCGTGAACAAAGGAACAACGGTCGCATACATCGAAGAAATTGTCGAAGCCACCAGTGCTTTCGCCCTCGCCGATTCTGCGGAACCTGCTCAGAGGAACCAAGCCCCTCCTATAGCTTTCGACGTCAATCCCAGACTACCGAACGATAAGCAAGAACAGCTCAAGGCCCTGCTCCTGCGATACGAAGATTGCTTTTCGTCGTCGAAAACTCGGCAGACCCCAATCACGAAACATCGCATCATAACCGAAGAAAATGCCAGACCACTCCGTCAGAGTCCGTACAGGGTTTCGACGCGAGAACGTGAGGCCATGAAGAGACAAGTTGATGAAATGCTGCGGGATGACATTATCCAGCCGTCCAAGAGTCCATGGGCATCCCCCGTGGTGTTAGTGAAGAAAAAGGATGGGACCCTACGTTTCTGCGTCGATTATCGCCGCCTGAACAAAATCACAAGAAAGGACGTGTATCCTCTCCCACGAATAGACGACGCACTTGATCGGCTCCATAACGCCAAGTACTTTTGGTCAATGGACCTCAAGACTGGCTATTGGCAAATCGAAGTCGACGAAAGAGACCGAGAGAAGACGGCGTTTATAACACCGGACGGCCTCTTCGAGTTTAAGGGGATGCCCTTCGGCCTTTGCTCGGCGCCTGCAACTTTTCAACGCGTTATGGATACAGTACTGGCAGGATTGAAGTGGCAGACTTGCCTTGTGTACTTGGACGACGCCGTCGTGTTTTCCTCGAGTTTCGACGAGCATCTTCGGCGCCTTGAAGCTGTACTTCAAGCCATCAAGACGTCCGGACTGACACTGAAGCCAGAAAAGTGCAGATTTGCGTATGAGGAGCTCTTGTTTCTGGGACACGTTATCAGCAAGTCTGGAGTTCGTCCCGATCCACGGAAAACAGCCGCCATCGCCGACTTCCCGCCGCCCACTGACAAGAAGGCCGTGCGCCGATTTCTGGGCCTGTGCGCCTATTATAGGCGGTTCGTGAAAAACTTCGCCCGCATCGCCGATCCTCTCACTAACCTTACCAAGGCCGACGTGGAGTTCAAGTGGAAAACGCCGCAGGAACATGCTTTCCAGGAGCTTAAACATCGCCTCCAGACGCCTCCGTTATTTGCCCATTTCGACGAATTCGCCGAGACAGAAATACATACTGACGCAAGCAGCGTAGGTCTTGGCGCCGTTCTTGTGCAGAGGGCTGACGGACTTGAAAGGGTTATTAGTTACGCCAGCCGATCGCTATCCAAAGCAGAAGCAAATTATTCCACAACAGAAAAGGAGTGCCTCCCCATCATCTGGGCTACGTCGAAATTTCCCCCCTACCTCTACGGCAGGCCCTTCAAAGTTGTGAGCGACCACCACGCCTTGTGTTGGCTAGCCACCTTGAAGGACCCTTCAGGTCGCCTCGCACGATGGAGCCTGAGACTTCAAGAGTATGACATTACTGTCATTTACAAGTCCGGCAAAAAACACTCTGACGCCGACTGTCTCTCTCGTGCGCCTGTCGACCAACCGCTACCCGACGACCCAGATGACGAGTACTTCTTGGGAACGATAACTACCGACGACTTCGCTGAACGACAGTGGGCCGACCCGAAACTTAAGGCCCTAATAGAATACCTCGAAGGCAGGACCGCCGAAGTCCCGAAGGTATTCAAGCGCGCACTTGCATCGTTCTTTCTACGAAACGGTCTTCTACAAAAGAAAAACTTTCCACCGCTTCGAGCGAAGTACCTCCTTGTGGTGCCTTCAGCTCTGCGACCAGAACTCCTGCAGGCCCTGCACGACGATCCGATCGCAGGGCACCTCGGTGTTTCTCGCACGCTCGCGAGGATACAAGAAAGGTACTACTGGCCACGTCTTACCACCGACGTCACTCGTTATGTGAGGACATGCCGGGACTGTCAGCGACGCAAGACACCGCCGACAAGGCCAGCGGGACTTCTGCAGCCAATTGATCCACCTTGCCGACCTTTCCAGCAGATTGGTATGGACCTACTGGGGCCGTTCCAGACGTCGACTTTCGGAAACAAGTGGATCGTGGTAGCTACCGACTACCTCACCCGCTACGCCGAGACAAAAGCCCTGCCAAAAGGCAGTGCATCCGAGGCAGCTAAGTTCTTCGTCGAAAATATCGTCCTACGTCACGGCGCCCCGGAGGTCCTTATTACCGACAGAGGAACGGCATTCACTGCCGACTTAACTCAAGCGATCTTGGCATACAGCCAAACAAACCACCGCCGGACGACAGCGTACCACCCACAGACCAACGGCCTCACTGAGCGGCTTAACAAGACGATCGCCGACATGCTGTCAATGTACGTCGATGTCGAACACAAGACGTGGGACGCCATTCTTCCGTATGTGACCTTCGCATACAACACGGCGGTGCAGGGGACGACGCAGATATCTCCATACAAATAGGTCTAGGGAAGGAGCCCGGCAACGACGCTCGATGCCATGTTACCCAACGTCACCGACGAAGAAAACCTCGATGTGAGCGAGTACCTTCAACGCGCCAAAGAAGCCCGACAACTTGCGCGTCTCCGTATCAAGAATCAACAGACGGCCGACAGCCACCGTTACAACCTTCGACGACGCTTCGTGGAATACCAGCCCGGTGAACGTGTTTGGGTGTGGACGCCGATACGCCGACGTGGACTAAGTGAAAAGCTTCTGCGACGGTACTTCAAACCGTACAGGGTGGTTCGACGTCTCGGCCCACTTGATTACGAGGTTGTCCCCGACGGCATCACGAACTCTCAACGACGCCGATCGCGACCTGAAGTCGTACATGTCGCGCGCCTCAAGCCGTTTCATGCGCGTTAACAAACTGAAACAGTGTTTTTTTTTGTATTATAGTTGGATCGTAATTTATTCATTGTACTTTCTAGCATTATTATTGTACCGTCATCTTTAGTTAAAGCATCGGGACGATGCCTTTTTTTCAGAGGGGGGCAATGCCACGTTCCATTTCCCAAGTTTTTGTTATCGTCCCAAAACACCACACCATTCTCAGCGCGAACCGCGCCTGCAGTTTTCGAGAAGGTTCCGGACTGTAGTAGATCATTTCGATAAGATCACGCCCACTGTGCGAACGGTACAGATTGTTCTGGAACCTACGCCGCCGCCAGCGATAACGCTAGAACATTCGACGGCAAGAGTATAAATGCCGACGCGCTTCGCCGCTTGTCAGTTGTTGATCGAAGGCCGACGCTCCGTTCGCCGCTATCAGTCCGAGACTGCTATCTGTGCGAGACTGCTGCTGTAATTGGACTTTCCGTTTACCGGGCACAGGTTCGCCCAAATAAACAGTTAAATCCCAACACGAAGTCTCCTATCTTCGGCCACGTCACGACCCCGTGACAATACGCACGGCCTCCGAGATTCCTAACACTGGCCGTGTTTATCGTGCAAGGGTGCTTCGCTCACAATCGAAACTATCAACCCGGAAATTTTTTGACTATAGCGCTTGTGCTCGTGCGTGCCACTCTGGCTTCCCGCGCAGCGCTTTCACAAAGCGTTTCACCACTTGAACTAGAACTAACCGTCACACACCGATTTGGTCTGGCCACGCTGGCTATCTTGAATGTTTATCAGCACCACCTCTGGAGTACCCGAGGCACCGTCGCCTGCCGTCGCGCTGTTTCGTTTACGCAGCCCACATGGTGTTTGGCCGCAGAACACCTACCAGTTTGGCTAGCCTAGTGTGTGGTTGTGCAATCGTGTGGGGTGTGCTCTGCAACGCCAAGCCTAGGTGCTTCCACGCTCGTCAGCAAACTCCTTTGTTCACATCGTGAGGATTTCACTTGCCTGCGATGGCCCTCACTCCGCCTTCGTCGTTCTCGCCGATGGCATTGAAGCGCGGAAAACAGTACCGTCGGTTAACGATGGAGAAGAAAGCCGCCATTATTAAGTTAGTGAAGAGTGGCCGATCGCAGGCTGACGTGAGCAAGGAGTTCGGCATTTCCAAGCAAACAGCAAAGCAAACAGTTTCCGAGATACCTTGACCCTCTTGATCCGAGAAATATCAATGAAATAATGCGTTTTTTGCTTGCATTGAGAAATAGTAGCAAAATGGTTTGTTTTTTCTTTGCTTGCGTTGAAAGATATCAGTAAAATGTGTTTTTTTGCTTGGATTCATTTTTTCGGACTGCCCGAATTTTCGGACGGTCTTTCCCTGAGAGTCCGAAAAATCGGCAGTTGACTGTATTGGCCTCCAAGATGAAAAAGGAAAGCAAACTGGTGATCTGTGAGGCTTTACTTCGATTGCCTCACAGCTTCATAACAGGAGATGCCGATCTTGGAGGCACTGCTCAACTGTGAGAGGACGTATCGACATCGCGAAGATTCTATGTTGTTGCTCCAGTATCCCCGCGCTATTATAGCGCTGTACTGCGTTCGGCTGAATGCTCCGTGAATTCGGTTTTGTGTTGAGACCTGCTTTATTTTGCACTCTGCTATCCCAAATGATCTGCGGTAAATGGCACCAACGGTACCCTCACAGCCAGTGCCGAAAAACAGGCCGCCGCCAACAAAATGGGACACACAGAACTCTAATTATGGCAAGGAAAACTGCCATCATTCTGCAAGTGCTCAGTTCATTTCAAAAGTTCAAGAACCCAACAATGCAACTGAAGAGCCTGACCTGCCGCCCAGCGCAACGAGCTCAAGTGCGGAAGTTGGGTGTGGAGATTCCTGAAGCATTTACGTTTGAAGACTCCCCAAAAGTCGACAGTGCTGTGTCACCGTGTACTAAATTGAACAATGACGACATAACTGAGCAGATTCTGCAACCGCTATACAATGATTCTGACTCAGATGATGACAACACACCGTGTGATCCGGAGCCGTCGCATGCGGACCTGTCTCGAGCCCTCGAAATTCTTTCATCTTCCTACCTGTAGTCCTACAACAAACATACCACACTGGCCTAAATACAGACGGACTTGGTTGCACATAAACGGAAGTGCGTACAGCAACACATTGACACCCTTTTCAGCCACCAAGTCAGTGAAACGTCAATAAAAGTACTTTTTTTTTTCCCCTACATTCATTTTTTTTTTCAAGCATTTCATAATTTAAACTTGTCTACGTTCCCCGTGGAGTCCGAATTAGCGGTCGTCAACTATCCAACAGCAACCATGACCAGAACCAAAGAATCCAAAATGAATATGAAAAAGAAGTTTGCACTGCCGCGTAAAGCTAGAGCAGCTGCGAAGCTGGTCAACAGGTGGGCCGTAAAAAGGCAAAGAAATAGCCAAGTTCATCACGGAAAAAACCTAGCAAAACTTATTTCTCCCCTTCATACTCACATCGGCCCCGTCACAGCAATTGGACATTGCTCTCTCCTGCGCCACCTCTTTCAGGATGTTTGTGAGAAGTGAGACTCATGCATAAGAGGTGGTTATATCGGTAGGTTGTTGTATATAGACTCTCCCATAAAAACACCCACTTAGTCGCCGAACTGGAATTTTTTTCTGTGTATTTTTATTAAATAGTGCGGACAGCCCCTCCACTGACAAGTCAGGCCTTTTCGAGTGTTGAATTTTTTTCTGTGTATTTTTATTAAATAGTGCGGACAGCCCCTCCACTGACAAGTCAGGCCTTTTCGAGTGTTAAGCGACACCCGTTGGCTCATAAGTGAATTAAACCACGCTCACGATGAACTCCCGCCGTTCCACTGAAGCGCGGTACTCCCACTTTGAACCAACCATACTTGCTAGTTGAGTGCAGCACGTCACTCAGCTCTCGCCGCCACATGTTGGGTCATTCGAAGTCCAATGCATGCGCGGTTTTCGTGCATGTTGCATGAAAAACAGAGTAGCCGGTTCGTTAACACAACGAACACGAATTTTGGAAGCAGTGCGCACAAGCAGCCTCGAACTACACAGTGGCGGAGAGCTTATAAACGACAGTATCATGCACTTGTACCCCCGTCACTTCGCCGAGCAGATATCTGCAGATGACTGCTGTCAGGTGAACGGCGAAGAGTCGAAGTAAATTCATCACCACCAGCCAGAAATGTGTTAAAAATCCCCCAACCGAAATATTGTGCTTTAAGAAAAATGAAAGAAATTGATATCGTAGCTACTAGCCAACTAGCCCAAAAGGTGCAAACAGCAGTTTCAAAGAGGCATCTCTAGTAGAATGGCGCTATGTACCTCCAGTTTTGTAGTAAGGAATGGATGTTGGCCAAGCCCAACGTTGCAGAGGAGGATTTGCTGTTGGACTTGTTGAGATCACAACACAGGACTGAATGCCGATATAGCATCAGTGCCTGCCGATGAGTGCAGTGACAAAAGTTGCTATTTGAATCAGGCAATGGAGGTGACAATCTCCCCCCCCCCCCACTATTGCAAGCTTATAACCAAGCTGACTTTAGCAACATTAAAGCTGCCACTTTCAACAAATGTGGTTAAACTGCCTCAAAGTTTGGACAATTCCAATTTTTTTTTTTTTTAGATTCAACACAGCCACATTTTTCAGGCTCAACCTTCCGAAAAGCAGCCCCCTGGCCAAGTGAACGATATAAAACTGAAACCAAGCATCTAAAATGTGCCAACTGAAACATTCCTTGTCTGCTCCACCCTTTCAGAAACCTTTGCCAGTAAAAGAGGGTGCCAGTAAAAGAGGGTGCCAGCAACAAGCCCGTTGCAGCAAGAACACATCACGCACCTTGAGGCCTTTCTCGAGGATTTCTTCAGCCTTGGGGCCCCGGACAGTGCAGTGCACGGCAATCTTTTCATTCCTCCTGATGCCAAACGATCGCACTGTGTAGCGAGCCTTGGAGAACACAGGTTGCTGGCCTGTCAGCTGTTCGAGCACCTGACAAGAATCAACACAAAATTCAACATTCAAAAACCCGCTGCAGAGGTGTACTAAGCATGTACGCTGCTAGCCTTCAAAAATAATAATTGTTGGGATTTTACATCCCCAAAACTCTAATACGATTTGAAGGAACACCGCAGCGGAGACTCTGGAAATTTTTGGCACCTGGGGTTTAACGTGCAGTTAACTAACCCCCTTGTATTTGGACCGCCATCAAAATGCGGCCAGTGCGACCAGATTTCTACCCCGCAATGTTTGTGTCAGCAATCAAGCGCCATAAACACTAGACTACCATGGTGGGTCGCATTCAAAGTTGAAACAAATGCTTCTGCGATATGATCAGTAAGTGTTTAGCAAGACGGTGCAACTTCAGCAAAAAAAAAATTGTCAGACACTGGAAAGCCTTTTGACAACTCATGCTTAATTACCTAACTGCACAGCTATCCTAACCGTGGCTTGTCTGAACATCACCTGCTCATAGTCATGCATGAGTGCATAAGTTACAAATGTATAAAAAGCTTTATTGAAACTGGGCAAAACTGCCATAAGATGCAAGTGACATCACGAACAACTACGGTTGGCACACACCTTAACTAGCTCATGCACAACGAATGCACAAGATGTCATGAGGTAGGAGCAATTACAATTATGATTCAGCACTGCTGGCAAAGAACCACTGCAATGAAACTGAGAAGCTTTTGTCCAGATAAAAAAAAATTTCCGAATTTATTGTAACGACTCCGAGAGGTCAGCTCTGCTCGTGAATCTTTGATGTAACTTATGCATTCCACTCAGAGACCACAAATGTGAAATCGGGACACCATGCGTTCACTTTCAAACCTCCAAGTTATTAACCATTACCGTATTTACATGCGTAATGATAGCCTCGCATAATGATCACACCCCTAAATTTTGTCGTCTAAATTCGTCTTTTTCTTTTCCCCGCGTAATGATAGCACCCTGAACTTGCCGCATCGACATGTCATCTGCCAAGTCTAGCTGAATGCGCCTATCATTGTTTCTGTGATCTGAAAGCAGGCATCACTTTGCTAATGCCGTAAACTTACCGATTTAAATGAAAGCATTCCTTATTTAGATGGAAGAAACTGTTTCTGACGTGCATGACGTACTCACAACCTCCATAACTGACGCAAAGAAGCAAAAAAAAATGCGGTGGCTTCGCTTCACGGAGTGCTCCGCTCTGTCAGCCGCCATGTTTGTTTTGACATCCCGCACTGTTACAGCGGGCACCCCCTAGTGGTCGACCTGAGGTCATCCCACAGCAATGTTTTTTTTTTTCCTGGGACCATGTTTTTTTTGTGTGTGTGTGCTTTGTGATCGTCCGTTGCAAGCGTCGCTTCACCATAGAGCTGTATGCGAGCTTTACTGCCATGTTCAAGCTGAAGGCGCTTGACTATGCGCTAGAGCACGGCAACCGCGCTGTCGGCCGACATTTCGGCAACGACGAAATCCGGATCCGACATAGGAAAAAACAGCGCGACATGCTCATCTCTACTAACAGCACGCGATGGGCTTTCCGCGGACCCAAATCTGGCAAGTTCCCTGACACTGAAAAGGCAGTCCTCGAATACGTGAAGGACATGCGCGCAAGGACGGTTATGCAGTGTCATTAAACATGATACGGACGCAGGCGTGCACAGTTTCCCGGAGGCTGAGAATAGCCACAAAGGACTTCTGCGCCAGTTTCGGCTGGACGACACGCTTCATGCGGCGGAATGAACTGTCGCTGGCATTTCCAATGCGCTCGACGGAACGGAAGATGACCCTCTGTGGGACAGTGAAGACACTGCCGGTTCCGACAGGGAATCGTGCGGCGACGACACTGACGCCAGTGATGCTTCGGAGTCTGAATGAACGTTAGGTGGTCAGAGAGGTGAAAAATAAAAGGGCAGTGTGCCATGCATGTAGCTCCCGCGTAACGCGCGTATTTTATTACAAACGTAAGCCTTAATTTACTTTTATTTTTCGTTATGTTCATAATAGCTACCGTAAGATAATTAGCAACTTTTTTTGCGTTTCCGGTGGTAAGAATATTTTTTCACGGAAAATTTACTCCGCATAATGATCGCATCCCGAAGTTGGAGCCAATTTTTTTGAAAAAAAAAAAAAAAAAGAGCGATCATTATGCGACTATGCACGGTAATCAAGTATGCTATAAGCATTGATTACTGCAGGGTCTGCTACATTGATTCATAGGACATCAAATCCTAAACAAAGAACCGTTTACATTGTGGAAACTTATGCACTCTTCCTTAATCTGTATATCATCTTCACCAATTTATGATCTATCATTGTGTGCTCTGCACTAATTGGCTGCAAAGTTCTCGGTCTGAATAATGCCCCAACAGAGCCATAATACAACATTCTCGCTTTTGCTGCTGTTGGGATGCTAAGAATGGTAGTTCTCTGCTTCAACTACCACAGCAAAATTAATATGCATGACGAATATAAACAGTACAGTAGTTGAACGTTTATTCGGACGTTGCAAATTCAGACACCTCAGCGGCACTGCCCCTCATCCCATTGAAGTAGTGTAAACTCTTGACTGAAAATTTAGACTCCCCACAGTGTGCGATTCAGTTTTTCAAACTCCAGCTGGCTGATCGATCGTGGCACCTAACGCTAAGACCAGCAGTCTGCAATGTTTACGATAATATCACCAGGTTTTCCTGCACTGAAAAATTGCAATGGCCATGGCTAGAAACAGTACCAGCTATAAAAGTCAATGCAGAATATACAATAGTCAATCACGAAGGCTGTGTGTTTTGGCTGCACATAATGGGCATTTTTTTGGCTTTAGCCAGCCACATTATGTCCATTGAATGGCTACCACAGCCAAACTGCAAGCCAAGCCAAGTCATGCTCAGAGTCGGCTAGGTGAGCATTTGAAATGGCTGCATGTACAGAGAGGACACAGACAGAACAGAATTCCGAGCGTTGCAGCAAGAACTTGACGTGACGTCGGTCCCTTTTGGCATATGAGAATTTGCTTGTCAGTTCATGCGGCTTGGCCTGAGCTGCGTCTCGTTCTTATTTATTGCTTGGCATGCGAGGCCTAATCTACTGAAATGGCTCTGACGCCACCTCTTCGATCTGCGCGATCGGTATTAACAAATAAATGCGGCCATCTCAAGACACTGACGATGGCAAAAAAAAAAAAAAAACGGGATCATTCGTCAGATCGAGCTCGGCCGACCTCAATCTGATGAAGCGCCGCCCACTATTGGCTGAAATAAAGGCAGACGTGGTTGTCTGTAATTGTGCTTGCTTGCAGACATGCACCAACAAGGTTTTCTGGCCACTAGGCCAATGAAGGTTCCTGTTATTTTCTGGTGAATCTTTTTTTCTGCCTGTCATTCAGACTTTTCGGTGCTTCCCACCTAGTCCGAATAAACAGTCGGCAACTGTAATCATCCTTATTGTTGCCGACAGTACTTCATTGAGAAATATGCATGGACACTGATATTTTCAAAACTCCCCTATTGGTTCAAAAGAGCATGCTAAGAGTAAAGTAACGCACGAACCTATGTCATGCAAGCTGTACCTCCAATTTAGTAGCAAGGCCAGAATTTGTTGTCAGGCCTCACGTTGCAAAGGGGGATTCATTCTCGCACTTGTTGACGACAACACAGGGCTGAATACACAACACGCATTCAGTGCCTGCCGATGAGTGCTTTGGCCGATAGAAGCAAATGCGTGTCCCATACTTCGTACATCAGGTGAACGCCATGGAAGCTAATAGAACTTCATGCAGTCGATTTGCTCATGCAGAGAAATAGCCGACGGATCTTGCCACTAGTAATTTTTTTATGACACTGTCCAGTGAGGATCCCTTCCGAGTTAGATATAAACAATTCCCACTATTTATGCAGTTGTAAAAAGGTTGCCCTGCATCGCTTAGAAGTATTGTAGCCTCCGTGACGAGCTGTAGTAGCATGTAGCTAGAACCACTCGTGGAGCTCACATTGATGACCAAATCCAAGAGCGACACGTGTAGACTCGCACATTTTGCCGACCGAACTACCTGCATAGGTTCCACAGTGTTGCACCTGATGTATGAAACGGAGTATATGTAAAGACGCGTCCAATTACACCTTGAACACCACACCGCACACTCAGCACTCCGCGGAGCGCCACTCGTGGGCGCTTGCCATTCTGATGCGCAAGCGCAGCGACAGCTGTAGGTGGGGCCTTCGCCGCGCCGTCTGTGAAAGCACGCCGGCTCCTCCGAATCGCCTTACTTTGGTGTGATGGCGATTTTGCTTTTTCTACGCCCATGCCAATCGCTAATGCGGCCTGCTTCTTGAGAAGCACAGTAACTGCTCCCTGTTCAGCCCATCTTTTACACCTGGTGTTTTATTTTTTTCTGCATGTGATTTCACAAGTAATAAACCTTAGCCAATCCATTAACACAATATCCAAACTGTGCTATAGCTCGTACAACAAAGCTTACTCATTTGCAAGGGCATAGGCAGAATTTTTTTAGGGGTGGGGGAGGTCACCACAGTGATCCTAAGTGGGGGCAGAGCAGGCAAGTGGTCACTTTGCACTCTGAATGTTGAGCGAAAAAAAAAAATCGAGAGGGGGGGAGAGGACAGAGGCCCAGTTTACCACTGCCTGGCTACGCAATTGGTTAGTTGCTTTGTTCCCTGTCGCCAGAATGTTCTCGCTACTCATGCGATTCTTTTTGATCAGTCTAAAGGTTAGAAGCCCCAAAATTGGTGATAAATGCATGGTGAGGTCTTGCATAACAGATCCAAATGTGGGAAAGCTTCCACTCGTTAGTCACTTGAAAACAATAGAATGTGGGCATTTTGCCCATTTCAAAGTAGTGGCATACCATTCGGGTATTACCAGAACCATTGCCTTCATGTGCTAGCCTGTATAAGTCACCGACACGCCACCATAATTTTTACTCATTTTCTATGGAGCTTCTTTGTACCATTCTTGCAGGCAAATTAAAAGGCATACAAATATGAGTTTTTAGCAATCAGTGCACCCTAAAACCATTACTGTCAAATCTTATGTCCACAGGCTCTGAATTATGCTTCATTCTCTCTTCATCACTATGTGACCTAAGACTTCCGCATCATTTTTTATCTTTCTTGGCTCAACATTATAGCACGGCGCGGAAAGTTTTCTTTCTGCCTTGAATTCACACTTTATTTTATTCTCGATTTCATTGCCCAAACTTTCAGCTGATGAAAACAATGTGTCATTGACGGGAATGTTCTGGCTGGACGAAAATTGCTAAGTAGATTAGTTGTGGGAATGCCAGCGGGCCTTCAAAATTTGACCCATGCAAGGGCCAAGGTTTATCACTTGTGAGATCGCACGCAGAATATAAAGAAAACATGGGGACGCAAAAGCTGGATAGTACCAGGCACTGTCGCTGTGCGTATCATTTCATAAATTGTGCGCGATTCTTAATTTGCTTGCGTATAGCAAGAGCAAAGTTAGCTCCACCGCAAAGCAAGCGCAATTTGGCAGAGCCGTCGCGCTTGCCTTCGCAGTCGATGCGACGAAGGCCCCTCCTACCACCGTCACTGCACCGTAGTACCCTAGCGCCCGCAAAAGGCACCCCATAGAGCGCTGGCTGCACAGTGCGGTGTTCAAGGAAGAAGTGGACACCTCAATTTCACATGATTGGTAATTTTCTAAAGTAAGAAATAGCTGCTCGAATATGCAGATCCGCTAAATGAATACAGAGTGACAAAACGAGAGTTTGTGATCATGCAGCCTTCCAGTTAGCAGCTGCCATTCAATGCTAGAAATTTCTAGATTTTGTCATCTTATCTAACTCTATGCACCTCTCAGCTGTGTTACCCAGCCCATCATGCAAAGAAAGCTCAGCCAATGCTGACAAAGGTAGACCAGTTGCAATAAAAGGCAGACTTCAGCACCAAGTAAATGTCATGAGTGGAGCACAGGGTGTGGGCACTCTGCAAAACACTAACCTTGGCAGCTCGGGTCAGCCTGTCTCCAGATTCACCGACACAAATGTTGAGGCACAGCTTGCGGATCCGAACCTCACGCATGGGGTTCTTCTCCTTGTCTTTCTTGTCCTTCCTCGGTAGTTTCGTCTGTGAAAAAAAAAAATTCCCTATTGAAGGTGGATGCAAAGTACATGTCGATGCACTCACACGTCTCAAAACTACAGCAGCGATTCCATTATTACTGTACAAAGACTGCATACCGCAGACTGACTGTCTTTCAGAGTTTAACAGCCTCCGACATAAAACAGGCCGATCAAATAGATTAAGTGGGACATGACCAGTTGGTCAAAGTTACACTTCTAAAAATCACCACTGGTACGACGCGAACGGTATGAGCTGTATCCAGCAATAGGGCGACACTGGTATGCGTTAACAGCCAAATTTAATGTCATTGAAAAAGAACCTGCCATCCGCAGAGAACCCAAAGAAATGAGGATCAAGTTTTCGTGATATCAAGTGGCAACACAAGCGAGGGCTTCTGCACAAAAACACACGCCTACGGCATCCGTCAGCCTAGACAAACACAGGCACTTTCGCGACTTCTGGTGCACATGCGCTCCGAGAAAAGACAACTCTCGCCAGGTACCTCACGCACAGCACATAACTTATGTAACACCTGCTAGTGCATCATGACTCGTGCTGCGAAAATAAAAGTGGAAGACTCCATGCACAACTCGCGGATAAAGGGGACATGCCCGGACACGAAACTGTTGTAACCTGGTCAGTCCTGGCTGAGAACACCACGTAGCAGCACCTAACAAAAACCCCCTCCTCTCAAAAAAAAAAAAAAAAACTTCAATGTAGACTTGCTATCTGTACACGAGCTCAACACATCGTGGCAACATACACGTTGCGCTCAACATCTCCCTACAGACATGCAAACACCGACCGCACTGACGAGCATTTGAAGTCGTCGTAGTACTACAACTTATTACACTTTATTAACTACGTTAAGTCAGAGAATGTGCCCTTGCATATCAGTCTGATGTAAAGGCAAACGTTTCTTAACATGCACTTTTCCGATGAATATTGATTGAAAATGTCAAAAAGTCCCTACTGCACCTTTGCCGTCATCTTGCCGACCCAAAAAAAGGACTTGACTTGTCTTGACTTGCCTGACAGCGGCTCTTTTGCGTACTTTCTCTATTCGCCACTGCAGTGCGTTATAGCGCTGCCACCGCTAGCGTTAGAAGTAAAAATCGATTTAAATTTGTCCATTTCAAAGGCTATGCTTTTACGCTTGAAATTTTACATTACAAAATGAATTTGTGCTTTAAAATATTCTAAAAACACTGCGGGCCCTGCAAGCGCCAAAAATATGTTAACATTTGTTATTTTTTATTGTGTAAAATTGAAAAAAGTGTTGTTGAAGTTGTTAATATTTGTGAACATCAACGTGGTGAAATAAATTATATTTTGAGACTAATAGTTATATTAAAATGGCTGTCACTACGTCACTTGTGTAAGTCACTTTGACCTAGGCGCTTTAGCTAGGGTAGAGTGTACTAGAAGCTATTCTAGTAAATTCTAACTATGGTGTATTCTAGGGACCATATTTTTACAGGACGGTGAAGCCAGCAGTGAATATTTTGATTTCTGCAAGAAAACATTTGTTCTGCACTTTTGTAAGTACGATATACATTGTTGAACCAAGGAGGTTTTTTAAAAAATGCTAGAGTAGAAATCATCGCCTTGGAATGAAGCTGTGCCTCTGGCAAAAAGGTGGCAGCGGCGACCATCTTACTAGAGGCATAATAAAGTAGTATCGTTTAGCGATTAAAAACAGAGCGTTTTCCTCGTACGCCCAACGAGTGTAATGTGGAAACTTTTTCGAGTCACATAGTGTTCCAAGTGCGTCTTAGTGTTACTAGTTTTTCTTATAGAGCCTCTAATTAAAGGCAAAGTTCTTGGAAATTCAATAACCCCTACTCGTTTCTGTGTGTTATTTCGTCGGGATCCAGTATGTTTTAATATAGAACTAACGTAGAATTCACACTTACATATTAAAGCCACTTGATCTCTAAGTGGCCACTATCAGAAAAGAACAAGTACCGACATCTTGTCAGTGGCAAAAGCTGGCTTCCCTCCTGCTGGCAAGACATTGCGAAAGCTTCCACTCCAGCATTTTTTTTTAATCCTCCTTGTGTTGAACAGGCTGTTTTGCTTACATGTTGAAATAAGACATCTGACTGTCGACAAATGATGTCGCCCACCGTAAAATCATAGCCTCCGCACTACAGGGACATTAGACGAGTGTTCCCATCCCCCCACCATAAACATAATAGAGCTCAATCTATCACGCTGAGAATGCTCCAAACGGAGTCGTACCCCTCGAAGAGCGTCTTGAGTATGGTACATGCGGAGATGGACCCAACATGCCCAGACTGCGGAAAAGTAAGCTCATTAAAACACACGCTCTCGCAATGCCCTGCGTTGCAGTACTGCTGTCAAGAAGCCTGGTGGACCGCTGCCATCAGCGATCCCAGCCACCACGTCCAGCTCCTGGCTGTTTGGAAGGCCCGTAAGAGGGCAGAAAGGCTCGGCCTTCCCGTCCTAACATGGGTGTAGTCAGGAGTTGGATGTATAAGCATTTCGTCATCTTCCCTCCGGACTAAATAAATGTATTTTCTCCCTCTCTCTCTCTCCGAGATAACAATGCGCGTTTTCACCTCGGAGACCGCATTTTCTTGCTTTTGTTACATGGCGAGTCCACCCCCCCCCCCCCAACACACACCTTTTTTTTTTCCTTCCTTGAAACAGACTGTCGCTTTCCGCGAGTTTTGAAACTTGGCGGGACAAACACTTAATTTTGCTGAGTTGTTCGCCGCGCATCGTTTGAAAACCTGTTTAGTAAAATATGTGAACCAAAAAAGAAAGTTAAGACCTTCTCGCAAAAAACTTTAGCGAGTGTGAATGTTTCGCGAAGGATATTTGGGCCCTCAAATTATATCTTAGTCAGATAAGTACCACACACAACCCTCTACTTGTTTGCATTGCCCTAGAATAAACCTGCTTCAAAAATCAATAAAATAACGAACGGGCCAAGGATACCTTGATGATGTGTCGCCAAGCTGGGGTCTTCTTCTCCATCTTGTAACAAATTGGAAAGTTGGTGATGGGTGCAAAGAAAAATTTGCAAAGAAAAACGCCAATAAATATAAAAAGTCATGTAAGAGAGGGAATACACACAGAGCTGCATTCAGAACTGAATCACTCTGCAGCCTTTTTCATTACAAAGTTTCGATTTCGAAGTGGGTAGAAACATCCAAACAATGGAAAACTCTAATAAAGTAATGTAGCATATAAATCGAAGATAAGGAACTGTATACATTTACTCATGTAATTTTGGTGAACCAGACATCAGATATATTTTTTACAGTCTTTCTGTAGTTTTCACACAGTGGCAGAAGTTACTGCTTACTACATTTAGTTTTGAAATAAATTATTATTGCTGAACTGTATCTATGCTACAGATAAGAAATACATATACAAAATATATTTAAAATGTTCAATAAGTTTATTACAGACTGTAGATGAGTACATATATATGGAACTCAGTTAACCACATACAGTCCTTTGGTATGAGCTGTGTTCAATTGTATTTCACACATCTCGGAAGGCACATCATACAACAAGCTTGAAACATCACATGACTTTGATACAAAATTCTTGTAGCTCATGACTAGACACCATTAGGAAAAGCTGAAGAACTGGTGACCTGCAGCACATAACAGCTTGCTTGAGTACCAGGGCCATGGCTGGTGCTGTCCGTTGCCTGGCATCAATGCAGTCAGCGGATCTTCCTCACCAACTTTCCACAGCCTCACTACTTTGTCATGTCCCGCTGAGCACAGAGTTTGTTCGGATGCATTGTAGCTTAAGGGCATTTTCAACCCGTTGTTGCAGTGACCATTGAATCTCTGCACAATGTGCTTGTTCCGGGGGTCCACCTAAATAAATGAGAGGCAAAAATGAGAAAAATGCATGCACATTTAGTCCGTACATTTTTAATAGGCTGCTCCTGTCATAAGCAACATTTTCATTAGTAACTAAAAAGAAGCACATCAAAGTAGGCTACACGGTGTAAGAAAAATTATTTTGGTGTGGACACTCCACCCCATGGCGTGCACACAGATTATGTTCGGCACTTTCAATCTCTCCAGCCTCCATGTCGCAGCACCCCCCCCCCCCCTCACAGGACTTTGGCCGATGAACGAATTACAGATCATGAGTTGCATATGTAGCGTCTACAACGGCATTGCATACGAGAGAACACCATGGAGGCAACTGCAGCGTGCGCCACACGTAGCATTTTTCGGACATGAAAAAGATGGCTTGTTTTTGTTTTAGTCACCAGCATGCACGGAATTAAAAATAATACAAGAAAAAAAAAACAAAGAGAATGTGTGTCTGCCTCGTCGTGCTTGCTTCCTTTAGGCTGCCACCTCGCAGCGCCCCTTCGCTAGGGCTGGGGAAAGATACTTTGATGTTGCATTGCGATACGATGCAAGATACTCAGAGAAAAAGTATTGGAGATACAGATAGAAGATACTGCTGTTCTATACGATACGATACTTGCCAGCTGTATCTTTGGATACTTCCGTACATTTGCAAGTTTGTTATAGACCTCCATAATCCAAGTAAGCAAACGTCCGTGCCCAAAAAATGACAGCTTAAAAATTTCTGAAATGTGGCCAACTTCATCTTAATGAAACATTTGTTAGCATCTCAAAAAAAAATTTTGTCCCAAAGTAAATTATTTACCTCCATGGAACTTATCAGGATTTGATTTAGCTCTTAACAGGACAGCTCTGCAGACACTTCGCTGACAGCGATTCCTGCTTGTCATTTCTGTAATTGATTGGAGTCGCTGCTGAACTTGCCGACAAGCTGGCGGATTGCTTCTAATCACATGAGCTTCAATAAGAAGTCTTCGGATGACAGTGTGAATACCGGTGGGTAGTTCCAGCTTGTCCAAAAAAGATGGTTGTGCAATACCAAATCACTAGTGTACAGCGGCAACAAGGCCAGTAGCGTCATTTTTGTGGAACATTAATGTATGCAGGATGGTCTACATAGAGCGCATAAAACTGCTATTACTTGTTTTGCTTATTTGCCAGCGTAAACCATTCTTTATCAACACACTCAATAACATGCAATCTATTTTCTTGAGCGAGAGGACATGTACACATCAGAAATGCCTCAGATTTATTGTATTGTCACTTGACTACGAAGAAAGCAGCAGTCACTCTGGTAGAAATGAAAGTGACTAATGAGCTAACTTGTGCCTAGAAAACTGAGTAATTATAAGTACAAGCAAAGTGCCCTGTGCTCTAATAGTAGTGTTGTGATCATCCCCCGTGCCTTGGCCCCACTTAGAACGCGTGTCAGGATTCGGACTTTACCGCGCTTTCTAAAAGCAAAAGCACAGCGAATGCTTTAGGTCCACCAGCTCGCCTCAAGCCCTTTGGGCCCGCACGGACGACGGATTACCAGGAAAGACCTGTTTTGCTGTCTGGGCTGCCTAGAAAGTCTGGTCCCCTGTGCGTTGTTGGAGTCATCGGAATGCACCTGACAATGAATCGAGTGCTGGAGGAACTGGAGTGCCTCTCGGGTGTTTTTTTTCCTGCGCACCACAAACTGCTGGCAGCAAGGCCTCCTCCATGAGTCATCCTTAATTGAACATTGCCAAACCAGAGGGATCAACTCTGGGCATTAGTTCAAGGTCAATGCACCATGCCAGCTGTGCTGTATGTTGTGTGTGTACTGCCTCCTTCATAGTAGACGATCGCTGCGTGCCTTTCCCTCTTTCCTGGAAGGGGTCGTGACTGCCTCTTTGTGAAAGCAGTAAAAGACGACAATCCAATTGGAAGTTCTGGACTCCATTGTCTTCCCTCAAAAGGAATCTTGGGAAGACGAGAGGGTATAAAATGCGAGCACAGAGACGCTCGTGGCTGCTCTTCCTTTTTGTCATGTATCACGCTACTTACCGGTAACCATGTAAATACTGCAAATAAATGTTTCCGGTTTTCAGCCCCGTCTCCTCGGTCCGTCTTTGTCCTGACGTTCGATGGCTCCAGGTCCCGACTAAAGTACCCCAGTCGCAACAGCAGCAATAAGTGTCATCGGCCTCTGGTAATCTGATCAGCAGAATGCGTCTTGTATTAATACAGCAGTAATCCCGCCTACCAGTGTTGTCACTGATGAAGGCGTAAGCTCGTGAACAAACAAAAGTATGCATACTGTACATAATCTAAACAATAATTGTTCTGTTTTTACAACCTGAAACTACGATATGATCATGAGGACAGCCAAAGTGTAGGGCTCCGGAAATTTCGAACATGTGGTGTTTCTTAACATGGTACCGAATCTAAGTACATATGCCTCCCACAAGTACATATGCCTCCCGCATTTCACCTCCATTGACATTTGGCCGCCGCAGCAGGATCAGTGTGCAATTTAAGCAGCACAATCTGAGACAATCTCGAACTGAATGAAACACTGCGAGCGGCTTGCACCGAGCAGTCATAAGTTTTTTGTGACGTAGACCCAACCACACCCAAATGAAAAAAAAAAGAGTGCTTGCAGCATATTTGTATAAAACAATTATAACTAAAAAGAAAAGCTGTTGTTTCAAGTATTCGTGGTAAATAAGTTCAGATGCATGACACAGGTGATGCCCCTAATACCTATGGCAATTACGCATGATGTATCATCAAGTTACCTATTAAGGAAAGAAAATAATAAAAAATAAAATCTGCACATACAAAAATTCATCTCAAATGGCTCATTGAGACGTTCATAAGAAAATGAACCATTTGACATTACAATGTTTTTCGAATCCTCTTTTTGAGATTTTAGGATGGCTCCTAATTATTCTCATTATTATGATGCGAACTCAATTATGTCATTGCACCAAGTATTAAGGAAAATGTTTGGTGCTGTACATTCAAAGGACGCCCACATAATGACATATTTGTTTCCCGAATCCCCTTGACAGAAGAGCTAACTCAAGTGAATATAACTGTGTAAGCAGCAAAAATAAAGTAGACAAAGTTAAGAATAATACAGAGGGATTATTTTGGCTGTACTTTACAAAAGGCATATCACATTCACATGACCGAAAAGAAAAATCAGTACAGAGCACTAGGTGATGCAAGGCAAAGCAAGGACAACTGAGAAAGCACATGTGCTAACAATCATAATAAAACTTCAAGGGATTTTTGAATAGAAACAGCAGGAAAAAAGTGGCATGGTAATACAGAATACAATTCGGTAATTTTAGAATATAATTTGTTCATGCTTTTGCCGACAAAACCAGGATGGCTGATGCAAACATATTCAAAATCTGTGATGTTAGGGTCAAGCTGTTGTAATAGGTTGAAGACAGTGCCACCACTGCTACACAGTTTTTCTGCCTCTTCTCATCCTAAAAATGTTCTTTTCTTTTCATTACAAAAGGGTTGCGTGCTAATAAGATTGGATTTATCTTTCTTTTAAAAGTCTCTTTAATATGCAGTGAGCGGCGGTATGGTTCTTGAGAGTTCATTCAGCTTCTTCTAAGTGGCCACCTGCACACTACAGTCATTCGGAACAGCACATACAAATCAGGGGTCCCCCCCCACACACACACCTCCAGAAACTTTAACAAATGTTGTTGGCTACGCCTCAGCTACGCACCATCTGATGACGAAGACACTTCTTTTGTATAAAATATTCAATACAAGCATATATTCATTATATGAATATATAAACGAAAGCTTCACTCTCACTTTATTACAATTTACAACTGACGATGTCACAAAGATTGATTGATTTGTGGGGTTTAACGTCCCAAAACCACTATTTGATTATGAGAGACGCCGTAGTGGAGGGCTCCGGAAATTTTGACCACCTGGGGTTCTTATGTCACATAGATATGTTTGGTTGATAATGTTTGATGTTTTGTGGCGCAAGGGCTATTTGATGGCCAAAGAGCACCAGTTCATGAGACAAGAGATGTGAACAATGATTGTTATTAGCGGCTGTATAGGGGCCTTAAAATTCCTCGCCCTAAGGCGGGTAAAAACATAGAAGTAATAAAATCATGACCATGCCATGAAAAATGTGTCATGTTAATGGAATGCAAAAGTTTGTGATAATAAAAAACAATGATGGACATGTATGGCATAAGCACTAATGCCTCGATCTTTCACACCCTTGCATTCAAGAGCCGTGAGGCAAGTGCTTTGTTGAGTATAGCCACCGCAGCAGAGACCTCTCTGGAGAGGTCGTGCTACGGAATGATCGGGTATATGATATGAAAACTACGAACGTCTTTCATAAAAGCTAACAATGATTTATGTGTGAAAAGTGGTTCTCTACCGACGAACATTGCAGGATGAAGTGGTATCTGTTGTCGGTAGAGTAGTGGAAAGTGTTGTCTTCTTAGCGTGTCTTATTCTTTGCATTGGATCAGAACGTGGAGTACGGTAAGTGCTTCTCCACATCTATCACACAAAGGTGAATCGCTACCAGACAAAAGAAATGAATGTGTAGTATATGTATGTCCTGTTCTTAACTTTGCAAGTATTACTTCTGTGTGGCATGATTTTGATACTGGCGGCCAATGGCCAAGTTGCAGCTTGATGACATGCAATTTATTACCTGTGTGTATGACCATGTGCTCTGCCAATAAACCCTGAGCTTTCGTTTCAGAAAGGTTCAAGTCGAGTGCAGGAACTGGTGTCGATGTATTGGTAGTGGTTTTGCTGGCGGATCCAGCTAGCTCGACCACCAGAACGTTGCCTTGTATTTCGCGGTGTTCTGGCACCCAGCAGACTACAACATGCTGCTTGGATGAGCACACTGTGCATAGGAGTGAATAAAGCAAGACAAGGACAGGTTCTTGTGCTTTTTAGGTGTTTTCAGAGCTTTTATTACGCTTAGAGAATCTGTATATATTATTGCC